ATCATCCGGTGTAGCATTCACTCACCGTCTTAGCTAAAACTAGCGACCGGGTGACGTCGGCACCATTAATAAGTTCGTATGAATTAAACACAAACTATCCATATACACCTGGGTAGTTTCAGGGAACATAGAATATTGATCTAGAGAATTATATACATCACCCACATGAATTAATAAATATAATTATTTAGCATATCAACAACAAATTAGAGGGCAGCCGTATGGGAGTAAAACAAAAAAAGGAACAGCCTAATTAGAAACACTGTTTTATTTCAAGAATTATTTTTTTATTTAATTTTATGGATAAATTACGGCCACCCTCTCGGGTAATATCAAATTACAAAAAACTCCCTCATGTTTGGGTATTTACAACCATTCCCCTCAACTATGAATGTTCTTACACGTCCATTCTTTCCGTGTCAAAATTAGTGGAATCTTTTAGATCATGTGGAATATTCTCCAGTTTGTACCCGTTTTACCGCATTCGAGCTTCACATTTTGAAACAAAATGATCATAAAATGTGTCTCTTGACTTGTAAATATTAGACTGTGGTGCATCAGAAACTGTGTTTTTATGAACAAAACGAGTACAAACCGGAGAATCTAGAAAATTCTGTCGAATTTGACACCATAAATTTGAACGTGCTAGAAGATACGTAATTAAGGGAGGTGGATGTAATTATCCAAATAAGAGGGGTATTTTTGTAATTTGACCTTAAATCAGGGGTGGCTGTAATTTACCATATGTTATATCACCCTATATAGGCTCTCATTTGTTCCAAAGAACCATAAAATCTCTCTCTCTCTCTCTCTCTCTCTCTCTCTCTCTCTCTCTCTCTCTCTCACACACACACACACACACACACACACACACACACACACACACACTACATGGGGTTGCCAATGGTAATGTTATTGCCATTTGTGGTGAAATTCTTGTTAAATTTCCGGCCGATTCATGAATGCTGCATAAATATGATGCATGCCACAAGACTCTTTTTATTTCAGATGGGCCATATAGCATTCGATAGCGGCGGCACCACCACCACCGCCGGCGGTGATGTGCGGTGGCAGAGGGCTCTCCGGCTACTCTGCCAAAGGGTCAACGATGCTAGGCGCTCACAGCAAACGGAAGATAGTTTAATTGCTCTTTCAATGCTTGCACTTTAGTGCAACATTAATATTTATTTATGTATGAAAATAAACAATTTATTGTACTTTATTTTCATATTAATCATTTTTCTATGGAGTAAGCATTTTTGAGGTGATATATTATTATTAAGATATGCACTAACTAAGATTAGTTGGAAATTGGAACCGAATTTTCCGATTTCGGAATAATAATTTTCATTCCGATTTTTTCACATTTTTTTTGATTGAAATTGGAATATATATGAGATTTTGACCTTCCATCCGAAAATTCCATTTTTTCATTCTAAATTACACTTATAATATCAACATTATTACACGTTTGTATTTTATGTGACTATAATTGGAAATTTTTGAAATCCGCCGATTTCGATCTGAAAATTTCCGATATTCCAAGTTCCGATTTTTTCGATTTCTTTTGAACGGAACTGGAATTAGTTTTTCACTTTAGGAAAAAATAATCACAATTTTTTGAAAAATACTAATTTCGATCCGATCCGTCCGATTTCCACTACTATGAGCACTACCTATCTTGTTTTTGTGATCTTTGAAATAAAAAGGTCTCTCTCTCTCTTAATTATATGAATCTACTGTAGAATTTTTTGGTACGAGGAAGAAAACAGAGAAAGGAACAAGAATTAAATTCCATCATTTTCAGACATCTACAAAAAGATAACCAGCTTTATTAGTTCATTAATGCAGCTTAATGTACAGTCAGCCATCAACTTTTGTGACAGAATATCATTCTTACAATAATTAACATACCACTTGTTGGGAATTGAATTTCAGTAACAAATTAAATTTTTTCCTAATATATATAGTTACTAGTTAGTAAATTAATCATAAACATGACTAAGAAAACTCGGCGATAATCAAGAATTAAGCCTCCGTGTTTTCTTCGTAGAACCATCTTCCAGGGGTACTTTCGTCCTTTTACTTCCACTCGCCTTTTTCGGTCTCATATTTGCAGCAGTAATCAGTTTATAACTAGACCTCGGCATTTCGCTTAGGTTTCCGAACCATTCCTCGTAGAACCGCCACACTTCTGACCTATTAAAAAAAAATCGAAATTCCGAAACAAAATCTTAAATCACAAGCTAAACTTTCGAAACACGCACACACACACAAATTCGAAACTACGAGGGCGCACCAGTAAGCCAGAAACTGAAACGGTGCATATTTTCCGTAAATATCTTCAAGATCTCTTTCGATTGTTTTTTTCGTGGACGTTTTTGCATGAACCTGCACCAAAAAAAATAAAAATCGTAATTTTCGGGGGTGTTTCGTAATTTTAGGGGGTGTTTTGTAATTTACGCTAAAAGTAAAGGACCTGTTTGAGATGCCGAATAGTTTCGGAATCGGTTGGAATAACATGGTAATAGCCGATGCACATGAGCACATTCGCACACGTAAAAGGTCCGAATCCATCAATTACTCTCAACTTCTCGGCCAGCTTATCGTAATCGGATAAATTACTTACCGTATCATATTCACACGCAAATTCGATTTCGGTCAATTTTACGCTCCCTTCAATTACTCCCCGAGCAAGATTTATTACACGAGAAGCTCTATATCCAAGATTGCACCGCTTCGCCAAGAATTCGACTTCGAGGTTAGCTAATTCACTCGGGCTCGGAAAATTCGCAATCGTAGTGCTGGCATAACAATCTACTTCGAGTCGAGACTTTTTATTTGACTCTTTTCGAGCGGGAGTTTTCGGAGCGAAAAGGTTGACTTCGGTTTTCGGGCTTTTAGGTGCCGTAATATTTGAGGCGTTGGGTAATGGATTTTGCAATTCCGACTGAAGCTCGCAGAGTGATTGAGCCATGCTTAAAGTCCTCGACCACCTGTAAAAATAGTAAAAGAAGACGAAAATCGATTATTATCGAGTAATTAATAGGGTCTTACTAAGGCTTCGTTTGGTTCATAAGATAAGATTAATGAAAACCCAATTTGTATTTTGGGACCATGAGGGATCCAATTATAAATAATTCTTCAATAAGTCAACATTTCGGGTTGACCCGGAAAATTGTTGGGTTTACCAAATATCAAACAAAGTCCCAATTATTTAATTAGTCAACATTTCGGGTCGACCCGGAAAATTGTCCAATATCGAACAAAGTCCCAATTATTCAATTAGTCAAGATTTCGGGTCGACCCGGAAAATTGTTGGGTTTACCAAATATCAAACGGAGTCCGAATTACTTAATTAGTCATGGATAATATATATATATATATATATATATATATATATATACACACACATATATGTGTGTGTGTGTGTGTGTATGTATGGAAAACAAAAGAAAGGGGTAACATAACTTACTGGCAATTGCACAAGAGCATACACTTAATCATGTCCTCAAATAGCGTAGGAGAACGAAACACTCGACCGAAACCCGTTTCTTTAGCTTTTTCATGCACCTTTTGGAAATCAACCACCCTCCGATTTTCTTGATCCGATAATCTCAACATTCTTCTCACTTGATTCTACAGTTAACCAAACTATTAAACCCGAAAAACACACACATACGATCACTAATTACACACCAAACATTACGATCATTTTGCGGAGGTAATTAAAAGAGAAAACATACCAAACCATTAAGAGAAGAAATACTGCACCCTTACTATTAAAGATTAGGCCTTTTCTATAAACCGATTCGATTCAATTTGCCGGCTAACGGTGCATTATTATCGGAACATCTACTATATAGAAAGTGGATTGTATGATTAAGTTCTTTAACTATACCCGAAAAAGAAAATTCTAACGCAGCTAAATGATTGTACAATTATAATCAAGATATCCTAAGGCCTCGTTTGGTTGCCAAGATAAGATTAACTAGTATAAGATTAAATAATCTAATCAAACCCAATTATATTATTGGACGTTCGATGATCCAATAACAAATATGCCTAAAAGGCAAGATAAGTCACGATAACATAATATTTGCGGGTCGACCCGGCAAGTTATTGGGGATACCAAACATCAAACAAAGTCCAGTTGTTCAGTTAATCATGGCTAATCCCTCAACCCAAACGAGGCCTTACAATAAGAATTCTTGAGCTATGGTGATGGCTTCTATACTTTGGTTAGTAAATTATTAAATACAAAAAATATCAATTATATGCACAAGAAGAACATGGCTCACCAGTAAGGATTGCTGCTGCTGAGGGGACAGGGCGCGCGTGCCAAATACGCGGAGGTGAAGCGCGTGAGAGGAGTGGGTGGGATGAGAAACGTGAACCATGAGCGAGAAGGTTTCGCCACCGGCGAGATTAAGGCGAAGGGGGCGTTTGAGGGTTTTGGAGTGTGGGTCCCACTGATTGGGGGCCATCATGAATAATCCGTGGCTGCAGACCGCTTTTTCTAGGTTAAAATCTGGCGCGGCGTCGCCCAGCGGAAGCTCCACCAGTACGCCGCCGTGGGCTGCGGCGGTTTCGTCTTCTCCGTTCATTTTCTAGTGCAGAGGGTAAAACTGGAAAGTCGAGTGGAAATGGAGGAGAAGGATGGCAATAGAGAAATTGTACATAAATATAAGGGGTAATATTTAAACCAAACTTAATTATATATGTATATATATATGGGTGACAAGCTCAAATAGAATATTTTAACTACATCCATACTTTAAATTTAAAATTGATACATATTCTTTGATTTTTATTTAACTCAAAAATACCCTTACAATAACTAATATAAATTACGTTTCTCTTTTTTTTTTTTTCTCATTTATGTCTCCCACGTCGTCCAGACCAACCCCCCCGCCCCCCTTCCCCCTTCTCTGTTTCTCTCGTTTCTTTCTCATCCCAACCCCACTTCTCCTTTTTTTTTTTTTTTTTTTTTTCTTTCTATTCTATTTAACAGATCTGAATATAATAAATGTTAAATTTAGTTATGGTTGTGGAGGCTATGACGGTGGTTATGGTAAGTTGCGGCGGCTATGGAGGCGGTGGGTATGTGATAAGTGTTCGTTTTGCACGATTTTTGCTTATCAAATCTTCGAGTTTTGGTCTTCGTCCGTCCGAGTTTCGGCTTTATTTGTATATATATTGCGTTTCTTGTTTTATTTCCTTTTTCAGGTTTTGTTAGCTGTTTTTGTCAAGTCGAAGCCATTTGGAAGCGAAACCGATTATTCAAGCCGAGCAAGTGGTCATTAAGACCCAGATCGCGATCCAGGAACTTCGGATCGCGATGTGGATGCAAATTCCAGTAGCAAGCAATTTCAGACCCATATCGCGATCCAGGAAAGTCGGATCGCGATCTGGTGACAAACTCCAGTAGCATCGAGATTTTGGGGCAGATCGCGATCCGCACTTCCTGGATCGCGATCTGGGATGGCGGTTCACGTTTTTACGAGAAGCCAGATCGCGATCTGACTTTATTGGATCGCGATCTGGCACGATTTTCGAGGGCATATATTTTCAAAAGCAAAGCTTCTTGAGGAAGCTTTGCAATTTACTATAAATAGAAGCAAGCCCTCACTCTTCATTTCTTCTTCGACTTTTTACGGTTTTCGACAGTTCTTCGCGGGAATCATCAACGGGGGTTTCGACTTGGGTTTTTTCCTTTGCATATATGCTTGTTATGAACTAAGAACATTTTCTTCTAGGGCAATGAAGCCTTGTATATATTGATTTCGATCGTCATTTCTGTTATCTATTTGTCGTGTTTCGATTTCGTTTATGTTATCCTGTATTAAATGCTTCTGATTGTTTGATCAGCTCTCGGATTGATATTAAATAGTAATGAAATCGAGAGAGGATTCCTTGTTTGAAGTTAGGAAAACATAGCTCGGGGTGTGGAAACGGAGACGTGATGCACTTCGGGTAGCCCTTAAGGACTTGGCCTAAATGCTCTCTTAATAGCAGGTTCTGAACGGAGACGTCGGACCTGTGGGTAGACGCTAACTACACTGGAGACGGGGGTTAGAGTACATTAGCGTCTGGGTTAACGAATATGAATGTGGCATTAGATAACGGATTTTTAGATCGTTGTTGATTATACATAGGTGGATTTGGCCCTAGAAGTCCCCCCGCGTTGAGTTGTCGTTACTTTATTTACGTACATTCCATATTTGCATGTTTACGATCTTGCATGCTTATAAATTAGGGTTTATCACCAATCCAAATATTTACGATCGGCTAGATAATATAACGATAATATAATTACACTACTCAGCATGTGAATCTACAAGGTCCCTGTGGATCGATATCCGGAACCACTGTTCTGCAAAATGCGATACTATATACTTGCGGTAATTTATACGTGAGGAAAACGCGTATCAAGTTTTTGGCGCCGTTGCCGGGGACCAATTTGATTTTATCTTTGTTGATAGTGTTACCAATTATCTGATTATTACTTTAGCCATTTACTTGTTTTATTTTCGATTTTTACCTTGATTTTAACCAATCACTTTGTTTATGCCCAGGAGTCGAAATTTGGAAATCATACCTTACGATCCCGAGATTGAAAGGACGTTTCGAAGACGAAGGGCCACGCGCTAACAACAAAGTGAACCAATGGCCGAAGATCAAGGAAATCCAGAGCACCTGGCCTTTGAGTACGATCGAGAGCCAGGACGAGATCATGAGCAGCCAAGACCGAACCTGCCACCCGAGCGAACAATGCGAGAATACCGAACTCCAGCTGTGAATGAGAACTATTCAGGAATCAGGAAACCGACGATAGCCGCAAACAACTTCGAGCTAAAGACGGGGCTAATCAACATGGTCATGGCGAACCAATTCTCTGGAGCAGCCACTGCGGATCCGAATCTCCATCTTGCCAATTTCTTGGAGATTTGTGGCACGATCAAAGTTAACGGTGTTTCTGATGATGCCATTCGGTTGAAGTTATTCTCATTTTTTGTCAGAGACAAAGCGAAGAGTTGGCTTCTGAGTCTTAATCCAGGATCACTCACCTGTTGGGAAGAATTATCACAAGCCTTTATGGCACGATTCTTTCCACCCTCGAAGACCGCACAACTACGAAGAGATGTAGGCAACTTCAGACAGATGAGCCAAGAGCCGATGCACGAGTCTTGGGAGAGATTCAAGGACTTATTACGACAATGCCCTCAACACGGATTCAACCCGTGGGATCAAATGGAGTTATTCTACAATGGGCTCGATCAACCAGCCCGATCTTTAGTCGATGCTGCCTCAGGTGGATCATAAAATAAAATATGATGTAAATAGGGAGTGAGTATATGTTAACACACTATTCAATTTTTTGGTGAAATTAAATAAATTTTTTTTAGTAAAAATGCATTCATAAAATAAAATATGATGTAAGTAGGAATTGTTTAATTCAAAGTAAATATAAATATTTCAACCAAAAAATAAATCTTAAAAAAATATTTCTTAAGTTAATGTTGAGCGAAATTCTATTTTTTTAACAAGAATGTTAACAGCGTTCAATGGCAATTACGAGCAGTTGACCTAGTTTTTTAATACATTATTATATGGTATGGGTTCGAGGACTTTAAAAAAAAATAACGAATTTTGATTACTTTCTAAATAATAAGAATAAAAAGATATATGATCGAAGCCAATTTCTTTTTTTCAAAATTCAAATCAAATCATAATGAATATTATTGGCAAATGGATTTCTTATGAAATGTTCTTTTCAAATCAATTCATCAATCAGGGGCGGATCTATGTGGATTTTTTTTTTAACTTTATTTTAATATTTTCTAATCTAATTAGTTCATTCAATTCATTTTCATCACACTAATTATAGGTCAAGAGCTATAATAGTTACATTTTGAGCATTATATTTACTTATTTTATCACGTATTTTACGAATAATTTATAAAAAAAAAATTGGAGGCGCTACCTCATAATAACTTTTGTCCACCCCGATACCAAATTCGGGCTTCGCGATGGATATTATCACATTTCGTCATCAAGCTAACTCTCCTCTCTTTCTTTTTTTTTTTTTTTTTTTCTTCTTTTTTTTTTTTGGGTTTTAATGCCATTAATTAAAAGGAAACAAAAACTGTTAGGAGTAGCCGAAATACATGGCTCTTGCAAAATATTTTTTTAATTTTATTATAGATGTTACAAAATATTATCCGAAAAAAAGAATAAAGTCAAGTCTAGTCTACCAAACATGACTCAGCGTGCTTCAGAAGTAAAATGGATAGATAATTTACAATATTTCACAAACAAATTACTTTAAAAAAAAAAAATCAGGTTCATTGGTATATTAAATGATTATTTACCCTTGTGAATGACTAGGGGTGAATGACTAGGGGTGGAAATTAGAACGAAATTTGTGATTTTCGCTGATTCTAATCCGAAATTTTGCATTTACCATCTCATTGAATAGAAAAAAAATCATTTTTCTTAGACTTTTCATTTTTCCCCCTTTAGGGGGGTTTTTAGTGATAGGTTATATAGGAAATGGTTAATTCTATTTGTCAAATACCTAGCAAAAAAAATTAAACTTTAATTAGTATGTCACTTACTAATAAAATAAAGGGTAAACTAGAACCATTTTAAATGTATGGTCAAATTAGGAAAAACCCCTCATGTTTGGATAATTATAACCACCCATTAACTATAAAACTTTTTACACGCCCACCATTGCGGTTTCAAATTTAGTGGAATCTTCGAGATTATATGGAATATTATC